AGTATTGAGTTTCTATATTTTTATTGAGATCCTTGAGTTGATTTGTTCATATTTATAATTCAGCATGAACCCTATTTTGAGTTACAAATCTTGAGTAGATTTTCAAAGCCAACACTTGAGTTTTAAACTAAGTTTTTGAGGAAGTAAAGATGAGTTTTGGGAAAAAGTTTAAAGGTTCTATTCCATAAAGACTTAAGAGTTTCTAATTTTATTTTATTCATATATATATATACGTACATATGTACCTATGTTAATTATTGGACTTGAAAGATAAGTTCATAAGTGCATGTTTTAGTAAAGATAGATAACATAATAATACTGACTATAGTGCTCTAAATCAATTACACGACGTCATTACTACTGAGCATAATAGTAGGCTTACCAGAGTACCCAGCGAAGATGAGATCCTAGAAGCAATTAAGGATCTCAACAATGAAAGTGCCCCGGAACCAGATTGCTACAGTGGTTTGTTCTATCAAAAATCATTAAACACGATGTTACTAATTTTGTTCATGTTTTTTTGCAGGGTAATTTATCAACCATTCTTGTTTGATTCTTATTCCCAAAGTGGAAGCACTTACTAGCTTCTCACAAATGAGGCCTATTAGCCTGAGTAACTTCACAAATAAGATTTTGTCTAAGATAGTGGCTACTAGGCTTAACAATTTTCACCCTGATCTTATCTCTGAAAATTAGACTTATTTCATTAAAAGGTAACAAGGTTCTCTCACAAAACATTCCCCTTCACATTCCCATTTTTGCAGGTAGGAAGAAAATATGCTACTTCACAGACATCACCACAAAGATCTTGCAGAAAGCAAGAGCATGGCAAGGCAACCTACTCTCATATGGGGGCAAACAATCATTATTCAACAAATTATGTAATCTCAAACTATGCATCTATTGGCAGCCATTGCCCCTCCCAAAGGATCTTTGACTCAAATAGACAAGTACCTGGCTGATTTTTATCGAGTCAGAAAGAAGGCAAAAACAAAAAACACTAAGCTTTCTGGGACAAAGTCTGTTTTCCAAAGAAAGAAGGCCAAAAATATTTTGCTATGAAAAGATGGTGGAGGCTCAGAACTCAAGACAACCTATGGACAAAGTTTATGATGGCCAAATACTAAAAAATAATCAATTTGTAGTTAGACAATGGATTCCTAGATAGTCACAAAGTTGGAAAGAACTTATGGATGTTAAAAAAATCACTGAACCACATATGATCCAGAGAATTAAGCCTTTCTGGTCGGACAACTGGACTGGTATTGGTCCCCTGGCTTCCTAGTGGCCAAACTTTGGATAACATTCAGGTCAAGGAGAAATAGATGGAACAATGAAATGCTACAAAAAATTTGTTCCTACAAATCCAACACTACATCAACCATATCCGAATAGGAAAAACATTAATGACAATCTCAACATGATTTGGCACAAAAGACTTCCTTTTTAGATTGGAGGATCATAACCAAGAGAGTCCCCCTAGATGATACCATTGTGAAGTATCAAAAGAATAACGTTAATAATGGATTTCAACAACAAACATCAGACTCCAAACTGCACATAATTCCCCACTCCTAATCTTTTTATGGAAAGCATCTACGCCAATAAGGTATGGTCTTTCTTTGCAAACTCTCTAGGAATACTTCATCAAAATCATAGTAGCCTCATGTGAAGTTGGTGGGATCTCAGCTCTAAACTTGTATATGAGATCTGGAAAAAAAGATGTGCCTATAGGTTTGGGAAAGTCAAAACTTCCTTCTCTAAAGTTATATATGACATTTCCTTCAACCTCAAGATTTCTATAAGAAAACATTTCGATTTTGTTCCCCTGGAAAGATTTTTGCTCCCTGACAGATGGCTACAACCCACGGCAAACTCCATGGCAGTTTGTTGGATGAAGCCTTGCTAGAATATGGAAGCTAAACAATGATGGTAGCTCGGTGACTAAGGATAAAAATGCAGGAGGTGGAGGCATTTCAAGGTAGCTTGATAATGACCTTTTATAGTGTGTATATGATCTTTTGCTCAAATAACTTAGTTGAAACACACACGACACTTTTTGGTCTCAAATGGTGCAAGGAAAGCAAGACTGACCCTATCATTTTAGAAATGGACTCAAAGATGTTGGTGGATTTGATCAATGGCGTATGTAAATCATCATGGAAGCTTCGATATTAAATCTTGTATTGAAAGAACTCAATGCTACTGTGGTACATTGTTTTCGGGAAGCAAACACTATTGCTAACTCCTTAGCCAAATATAGCGCCATGGAAGACTCGTCTATGAATTTTACTAACTCCTCTCATATGTCTTCAATGTCTAAGGGAAATTATCTGATGGAATAGAGAAGAATGGTATGATAAACATCAGAATCAGAAGCAAAAGAAAAGGAATAGACTGAGGTCTGTGAGCTCTAAGGATTCTAAAGTTGTTAAAATCCTTTGATGGTCATAGTACCTTTTTTGTGGGCTTAGGGACAAGGGAAACCCCCTTAATGCTCCTATCATGTATCTGTTATTTTACTTCCTATGGTTGAGGTTTTAAGTCCCCCCCCCCCCCCCCCCCCCCCCCCCCCTTTTTTTTTTTTTTTTTTTT